GCGGGGGGAGAGGGGGGGAGAGGGGAGGCGGGGCCCGGCCCCTCGCAGGCCGAAGGAAGGACGAACGCCTCAGGGGAGGGAGGTCCCACCGCGGGGCGGCCGGCAGCTACCACGGAAAAACACGGATTTCGGTCAGCCCGTTACTGCGTCTCGCGTTTCTCACCCCCCGACAACTCTGCACGGGCACTAGGGAAACAAAACGCAGCTTCGGGTTTTACTAACCTTAGTAAATCTTTTGAAATGTCATTCATTACGATGTTGTTTACCATCCTGGGCTACCGATCATGCACACTGTTTTCCTCCCTCTGTCCTGTGCCTGTCTGTCCTTCTTTCTACATATTTCTCCCTGTAGAAAATTTTAATTTGTATTATTTTTATTAATTTATATCCTTCAATGACCTCTCTCATCGCTGCAGGCCATCTGAAAACTTAAATGGCGACAGCACAGATGCATGTATGCTAAAAAATTAGTCTTGTATTTGCAAAACCTAGAAATTCACTGTAAAAACCCCCAAAGTGTTAACTCTGCAGTCTGAATATATCGCATGTGTATCATGTAGGCTGGTCCATAAAAAAACATTTTTATATAAAATAAATTATTAATAATATAAATAAAAATCACCCTCCACAGCCCATGTTAATTCTGTAAAGTGGAACAGAAAGCTTTCCCAGCCCTTGTTCCTTCAATTTTTTTTTTCTTCTTTTAAAAGCGAGGGATAATCAGTTGGTAAAAACAGATACAGAAAACCAAGCTAATACAAAACCAAAAATAGGCCTACTGAACACAAGTCTATACAAGTGTCGGGCAGAAAGAAACACTAGCTTTGTATTTGTATAACTTTTATGCACTAAATAGTATTTTCTGCTTCATTTCAGTGATATTTAAATCACAACAACTACAGTTGTATAGCTTAGATAATTGAGTAATATTTAACGCTATCTAAGCCCTGTAACTAAAAAAAAAAAAAAAGGCATATAAAAGTGAAAAAAAGTATTGTGGTAAAAATTCATCTCTCCAAAAAGTCTGATTCAGTTGCCTGCAACAGTAACTTTAAAATCATTTATAAGCATAAACAAGTCAGATTAATACAGCCAATTTAAATTCCAACATGTTGCACTTTAAAATGAAGATTGTCAACCACACCTTTTCAGCATTCTCAGTATCCCAAGCAAATACAGCAATAAATTACACACAAAGTTTTTTCAAAGGTAGGTTTGTTTTAGAAAAAAGCCAAATCAACAGCAAACACAGGAAAAAAATAAAACACTTTCCACACACAGATATGGTGAGTAATTCAACTTCATTCTTGGCAACCACCTTTACAGCAACCAATTATCACACCAACTCAATCAGTGCCTTGTTTCACTGAGATTTCCAACAAAGACACCAATGTATTTGTAGCCTGTGAACATAAATTCAGAAAGAATCAAGCTATTCCTCCCCCCCCCCCCCCCCCCCAAAAAAAAGTCACATAATCTGGAGTTAGAAAAAAACTAAACCAAAATGCTGCTGATGCACCTACCAACTGCCAAGCTTTGGATTCCAGGTCACGTCAGTTATGCAACTGCTACGTGACCGAGGTAGCTCAGCCATCACAGCAGCAGCCAGTACGCTTCCCAGCCTCCTCTTCGTGCAGCCCTGATTGATTTCCACAGCAAAACCAACATATTTTAGCAGAGGTGTAGGACTTTTTAAATAAGCATTCTGCGATTCGTGCAGATTGGAATCCTATGGGATTCTCAAAGGAGTTGGCAGTTGCATCTGCCCTCTCATGCTATTCCTGGAGAACCAACATTGCTACATTTGCTTATTTTGTGTATCCATTAACTGAAAATTCTCTCAGATGAGCATTACTGCTGTACAGGAGGAAAGAAACACCGTTTCACATGGGCAGCTAATAATTTTTTTTCCCGAACAGCAACATCAAAATTCTTCTTCTGCATTTGGAATATGTGAACTCTTAAATTTCTGGAGTTTTTCAATAGCAGAAGATACTGAAATCTCTCCATGAACTTTGTTGTCTCTTGTTCGCACGTTGACAGCATTATTTGCTTTCTCCTTTTCTCCAACCACTGCAAGACATATCACAAACAATATTAAACTGACTACCTACATTACAAAATGAGAGTCTAGACAAACTCTTTGCCCAACATTAAAACTTAAATGATATTCAGAAACGTAAGATGTTGCAATTACCTAAGATAAAGTTATACTGGGCCAGCTGTGCATTTCTAATTTTCTTGTTTAATGTGCAACTTTGATCTAGATCCACATCTGACATAAATCCTGCTTCAAAAAATTTGCTGCAAACCTAAAAAAAAACCAAAAAACTCTACTTAATATTACAGTGTATATTCTACAACGTAAATTTGTACATGCTGTAGTCCCTGATCTCTTCCAATAATTAATTCATTTATGTGCATAATTTTGCTCTTGTGAATCGTTATAAAGGAAGTCAATGAAGTTATTTGAAGAAAACTGCACACACGCTTAAGGGCTTAGCAGGACTGCAGTTGTAAGACAACACAAGGTAACATCCGCATCAAATATTTGCTGATCTCCTCAGACAGCTACACTGCTGAATGTCAAAAATGTTTCCTCAGTCTGAGAAAGGAACAAAACCACTTATGCTTGCATTAAAAGAAAAGCAGGGGGAGGGGTAAAGACAACCATGGTCAAATGTAATGTAGTCAAGAGTATACATGCAGGGAAATGGAAGAAATCGGCTCTGCCCCTACTTTAAGCCGGTAATTCTGTAATGAAACATCAGTTAGTATATCAGGTTTGTCATCCAGAATGTTTTTTTCTTCAATAATTACTGAAGTATGTACATAATAACAGAACCCAAAACACTTAAAGTTACATATCCCTTTCTCAGGCTTGTACAAATTTTGGACTATATGGAAGAATTTACCTCTCCCCCCAAACGTGTCTCCAAAATTATGAAAGCATTCATTCTTTGTTCTAGGACAAGTACTTAAGGAGCTATTAAAACTGCTTGCTACTATAAAAAGGAAGGCCCTACTCTCACCTGCCGGGCATACTCTTCAGAAGTAGGTCCCACAGGCACAACCATGACCTGCCGTGGAGACAGCCAGAATGGCCTGGCAAGCAGGACAAGAAAAATATGAAATAAATGTGCATTTTACATTTGCATTCATATCCATAGTCATGTTCCCCAATAATAATTTCTTTACTTTATAAAAGTATTTATGTTAGCTAAGGATGTTGGATAATATGTTATCTTCCTCTTTTCAAGTTCACATAATATAGCAAATAGATTGATTCCAGTAAAATGACATATACAGAACTTTGATCTTCTGTTCACTTCCTAGCTGACTTCACAATTTTAAACACAATTTTTTTTTTTTGCATAATTTCCACTTTTATTTATGACTTCATAGTGAAAAGTGGACAGTCAGACAGATAGGTGGCTGAAAGTAAGAATTAACTCTTCCTTAATACTTTAAATACATTAATGAAGAAATATCTTCAGAGCTTATTCAAGATGAAACAATACATCTTACAAGTTAAAAAAATAATTCACATACTAGGACTAATTCATGTCTGTATAAGTAACAGCTTTACATATGTCTAACATCTTCCCAGTACAAAAGCATGATTTTAAAGAAAAGAACAAGAATAATGCAGTACATATACATTCAATTACAATTCTTATTTCTGCTTTATTGTATAATTTTTCCTGTAATGTCATGAAATTGAATTTCTAATAATGAACTATTAATAAAAGGATATCATACAACTCAGACCATAAAATTAGACTTCTTTTCTTGTAATCTTACCTACTAATTTTGAGAAAATTCTAGGGATATTATTTTGCATTATAATATATGGGACATTAGGGAGGATCTGTATTTTCTACATTGTTAAACATTTCTTAGAACTGCATTTGTGCCACATACCATTTTCCTCCATAATTTTCTGCTAGAATAGCTATCATTCTCTCCACAGATCCCAAAATAGCTCTGTGAATAATCACTGGCCTTTTCTTATCGTTGCCATCCTTACTGAAAAAGAATAAGTAAAGTTTTTAAGAAAAAAAAATTTCTCTTAGCTCACACGCAGATAATCCTACTAATATTTTTGATTCTACTTTTCACGGAAAGACAAAATTTAGTTATTTATACTTAGGCAAAATCTACAGTTTTTATTAAAAACGTACTTTCTTTAAGCCACCTTGGCTTTTAAAGGAATACTGAATAATCATAGCGACTTAAAATAATCATGCCTGTAGCTAGTGGCATAGGCACAAACTCCTAAGTTTGAAAAGACACTCGACTGACTCAGCTCCATTTCTGTGCATTTTAATATTTTATGTTCTTCCTTGCTCTTTCTTTTCCGCTATGCCTTGCTTTTATTTTGTTGCACAGGCTCTTACCTGCCCTTGCTGTTCATTTCTTGCCTTAAATTACAATCCTGTGATTAAAAAAAAGTCAGCTGCTGTTTGTAACAGTATTATCACCTACCAAAGAGCTATGACATCTACTGTAGAATATGCAGCAGGACCAAAAAATAACAAAGATTCTTATTCTATCCTCCCCATCAAACTCCTTATAATATGCAAAACCAAACAAAAAAACAAGCAAGAAAAACAACCCAGGAAATGTGTGTTCAGGTCAACATGGTACTAAGATTAATTCACTCAGTGGATAAATATCCCTCTTCCTAGCTGGAAGCCAAAGTGAGATTTTCATTAAAAACTGTTCGCATTTGGTTTATGTTCATCAAGGTTAACTAACTTTATCTGATAAGAAGAATGAAGCACTTATTACATACTAGCTCCTTAAGACACGTTTGAATTTGTATGCAGTGTCTTCAAAGGAGACGCAGTGACTAGGCTGAAAGCGAAAAGTGATTCAACCGAGTTTCCTTTAACATTATATACGATCAGTTGTCTTCAGAACTGGCAGACAAGACATCATTAAATTTTCCTGCAATCAGTAGCATTTACAATTAAAGTGAGCTATCATTACATTGAAGAAATATCTTCAAGTTCATGACTCAGTCCTCTACTCACCGGGGATGTTTCCCCTCCTAACCAGGCTACTGATATACAGGCTAATCATTTAAGTGAGCAACAGAGCATTAATACATCTCAGCTTAATGGGAATTACAGATAAAGAATGTAACCATTTTTAATTATTTCACTTAGGAGGAAGATATTTAGCTTAACCACTCACCCAACATAAGTAAGATTAAATCGAATGGGTAGTTGGAAGTCAAGCTGGATAGTAGCACATTGATGGTACCTGCCAATAGCATCTTTGATTTTAATATCAATCTGTGAAGCAAAATAACATGGTTACTAAATACAGTTTGCCTGCATTGTGTCTGTATAATTTTAATATCAATCTGTGAAGCAAAATAACATGGTTACTAAATATAGTTTGCCTGCATTGTGTCTGTATTCTTGCCCATCCCAAAGTTGTATTAAAACGCTGATTCACTAACCTTAGGACCATAAAATGCTCCATCTCCTGGATTCAAATTCCATTGCTCTCCAAAGTTATTCAAGCTGTTTTGAAGTTGCTAATCATAAAAATGAGACAGTAATTAAAAAAGGTATAGCAGGGCCTTTCATTATTGTCAGTCAAAGCACTTGCCTTTGAAACAGGCAGCACGACTCCTATTGTTCAAGCATTTAGTCATTTATGATAATCTTGAAATAAGAGTAGTTCGTTATACAAATGTTGTGATTAATCAGGAAAAAAGATTAATAAAAATCAAATCAGTTCAAGATAAGGGTCTAAGTAAGAATCAGAAAGTTTTCATTTTATACAGAAACTTCACATTTAATGTGATGTTTTTCAACAAGCATTTCCACTAAGGACAATATTTAGCATCCGATTTAAGCGATTTCACTAATTTCACTATTCAACATGAAAGAACTTATTTAAATATCCACCTCTGCAAATATAAACATTAAGGGTTTTGTTTGTTTGTTTGTTTGCTTTTAAATTAATTACCTTTTCTGCATGATCCCAGATCTCTAACTCTCCTAGATAATTTTCTGGTCTTGTAGAAAGATGTAGTTGAAAGGTAAAACCAAAGACAGCATACACTGACTTCAAGAAATCAAGACAAACCTTAATTTCTTCTTCAATCTTAAATGTAAACAAAATATATTAGTTAAAATTTACTTACATAAAAATGTAATTGGATTTACTGAATTCCTCATAATCAGAATATAAGAGCCCGCTAAATTAAAAAAAAAATAAATTAAAAATCACATGAAAATTACACCCTACGCCCATTACCTAGATTTGGGTTTGAAGAGAGAACCGAGGTGGTGTGGCTTCAAAGCATGGCAAGAAAAGTAATGTTCTTGTTAAGCCTGGGCTTCTGGAGCCAAATTGTATGAGTCAGACTTGACAAGAGTACATCAATTTCTTCACATCGCTCCACTAAAATCTATGGCATTACTGACAAAATGAAGTATTTATTCAGCATTACTATGGAAAACAAAATGCGGTCAACAGCTTTTTTTCTTTGCAGGGGGAGATGGGAGATGCAAAAGATTTTACCTTTTGGGATTTAGTTGCCCAATGTATCTTTCTAAGGAGAAAAATTCTATACAGAAAATCTTATTACATAATTCACAATCAATAACGTCCCTCAAATAACACTGTTTTCTTCTTTTGATATAAGCATTTTTTTATTTCAGAGAGAAAAATAAATAACACAAATTCTGGCACTGCTATTTGAGAAACTTGTAGCAGAGAAGCTAAGTTCAACAGGCTATTGACTTAAGCAATATTGCAGAAGGTTAAGAAATATGGAATACCAGACAACTAAGGAAGCACCTAAACCTATCAAAAAAACCCATCAAAAGCAGCACTATGCTACAAAGCAACACAATAGAAGAAGCTAGAGTTGAAATACTTAGGGGATTTTTTTTTCTTTAATGTTGGTTTGCCCTGGGAGGGGAGGGGATGGGGTTCTTTTTTTTGTTTGACTGGTGGGGGGAGGGTTGTTGGGTTTTGGGGTTTGTTTTTTTTTACCTGTTCTATTGTGCAAAAGATGTGAGCATCGTCTTGTTGGAAGCGCCTTACACGAGTTAAGCCACTTAAAGTCCCAGAGAGTTCATTTCGGTGAAGAACTCCAAAATCTGCAAGTCTAAGAGGCATTTCCCTCCAGGATCGTGGACGATGGGCAAACATCAAGCTAGGAGCAACATGAAAGAACCTTCCTTTTATCCTTCTTATAGAAGATTTAAGACAACACAGAAACTAAAATAAGATCAGTACAGACAGTAATCATATTTTTAAGTATTTATTCATTCAGGTTGTCTGCATCCTAAAAGGCAGGCAAACAGAAAATGTGCTGCACTCAGAATGTATTGCTAAAGACCACCTAGAAAAAAAACACTGAGAGAGTAACAATCAAGACTGGTTCATCTGCACCTTCTTTTGGTACACCACATCTGATGCCTATCTCTATCCAACATAATTTGTATTTACTAGTGGTACAGACTAGTATTAGCATGCACAAACCTAGCTCACTTAGTGCAGACTTACTGAAAGATCCTCCTACAAGAACTGTATTTGGTCTGCTTTGGGACCCTGTCAGGGGAGCTCTCTAGACACACTAGTTGCTTAGTAGTCTATTGTAAACATACATGATAACGTGTATTAATACTCCATTTATTTCCCCTAAGCCCCACAAAGGATAAATATAGTAAAATAAGAAGTTTTTCAGTTGAGAGTACAAACCAATGTCCTGGACAATTCATTGGTTTAAGGGCAAAAGTCTCCTTCTCGATCTCAAAAGAGAACATATTTTCACTGTAGTGCTGCCAGTGTCCTGAAGCTTCCCAGAGTTTACTGCTGAAGATGTTTGGTGATACCACTTCAGTAAAATTACGCCTGTGATATTCCTCCTATAAAACAAATTCAACATTTAAAAGGTGATAGAGCTTTTGACAAGCAAAAGCCTAGTTCTTTTTAACTGTGTTCTTATGATGGTGATTTACTGGGAGACTAAAGGACTACGTGTAGGTTTTGCAAAACTGGAAAAAGCACAGGTCAATGCTTTACTCTGCCTTACTTTCAAAAAGGATAGACCTGTATAATCATAGTGAAGATCTGGTGTATGTTTACACACATAGATGTTTCTCTTTCTGCGGATAGCTCAGCGCTATGAATGGCCAATCACTTAAGATCAAGAACTGATATTAAGCTTGTTAGGAGTTATATTAGTACATACTCACTCGTATGAAATCCACAAGTGTGTTATAAAGAAAGGCACCTCTGGGGAGGAAAAAGCAGCTTCCAGGACTCAAATCATGAAAGAAGAAGAGTTCTTGCTCCTAGGTAAATTAAAAACAGAATGCTGTAACACCACTTCAGATTGAACTCCAGAACATGACTACTTCACACGTGTTGAGACTCTGTTCATAAAATATTACAGTAACAACATGATTTCTAGAAGTCCACAAGTTCTCAGCAACAGTAGTGAATTTATCTGTAGTTCTTACTCTTAGAAGTTTGTAATAACACTGGAATTCCATTCGACTCTGTGACTATGTAAACACACATTTCCTCAAAATCCTGAAGCCTTAACCAATCTTACCTTTAGTATCCAAAGCAGTTAAGCGTACACCTATCAGATCTGAGGGTTGATGGCTGAAGCTTGTGAGCCAGTCATTCTTTATCAGAATTCTGTCTCAAAAACAGAAGCTCAGCAGTGTGGCTCTGATACATCTTTGGAGAACCTTAGCCTCTTCAGTATCATAGATATTAGATACATAGACACTAGATAAGTTGTTTGATTTATACTACATAATTTGTTTTTGAAAAGGCATAGAAGTAATCATCAAACAAATACTACACAAATATTGAAGTCTTAATGAGCTAAGAGAGAAATAAGCATGAACACTTCCGTAAAGATATTTTTTCTACTTCTTCCCTTTGTCACTGTTCTCTGTAAATTCCTTATTGGCTCTTCCTCTTCTCAGTTACCCTCAATTGTTCATCTTTGCTTATGAAGGCCCTTCACAGTCTCTTTTTCCACATCTGCCAGTAAGCAGTGAGAGGTTCATGCCTGCATCCTCTTTGCCGATGATGCTGACTTTCACTTACACGTGAGTTTTTCAAATAAGTGTCTCCCTGCTTTCACCTGTACTGCCCATTGTGCCTTTAAACATCCACAAAGCTTCTTATCTCCTCTCAAATACCCTCTCTATAACTCCACCTTCTCTACAAAACTATAGCAAAGGTGACAACAATTAGGAGTCTGCATGCCAACCTGACCGACATTAGGTCACAATCCTCATCTGTGCCAATCTAAGGTCTTCTGACTTACACTCAATTTAAGATTAAATCTGTTCATTTAAATCTAATAGAGGAATATACGAACAATATTCACAACAGCAGCTAAAGTACTGCACGTACATACAGGCATAAATAAGGTAATAGTTAAGTGTAACAAAGAGTGACCAAACCGTATTATTTACACAATTTTCAATAATTTCTCTCTTCTATGAAAAATGTAGTGTTTTAGGTAGGATCTGAAAAGACTCTACATTAAAAGGTTTAAGATATACTTCCCTAAACCGAGGGACTATCCCGTTACTTCTTCCCAAAGTTAATTTAACATTTGTATGCAAGTGACAAGTTGAGTTTGTAGAATTCAAATTTTAAAATACAACCGACACCAAGAAGTTCATAGAACTGGCTCCCATTCAAACTGTCAAAAAATGGAAAAAAAACAATGAAAGAGAATGAATTCTATTATAGAAGCATAAAAGAGAAGTGGACCATGAAATAATGTACCTTTCCAATTTTCCTATGGTCCCGGTTTCTGGCTTCTTCCTGGAATTTTTCCCATTCCTTCATCATTTTGTTATCAGGAAAGGATATTCCATATATTCTCTGCAGAGTTTCCATGTCAGATTTTCCCTCCCAATACGTAGAGGAATTCTGATGCACAAAACCCATACTTTAAGATAGTACTATATAGTCTCAGGGGAAGAAGGAATAAACACTAATGCATTCAAATGTTATGATTTTTTTCCTTGGGAAAAGAATTATATGCAGTCATCCAGCATTTGCTTGTAATACAAAGACATTTGCACTGCCTTTTAGTCAGCATGCTAATACAGAAGACAAACAAAAGTGACTGGTCAAGTCATACTTTCATTCTAGTTAGGTACCTCGTTTTTATCTCACATTCTATCTTCTAAAAAGGCAGCACTTGTTTACGTTCAAAACATAATGCAGTAGGGAAACATGAAAGACAAAGCAAAACTAACTCACTCTCACAGTTAAATCCTAGCTGTTTTGACAATCTAACATTTAATCCCTGGAACTCAGAGTTCCATAAACTTCAGTTAGGAAGCCAGCAAAAGCAACTATGATGAATGTTCCAATGAGGTCAGTCTAAGGTTACCAAAATTAGCATCTGCAAGTAACTTAAACGACATCATAACCAGAGGCATCTGCAAGCACTGTCTCTGGCTCTCCTGTGAGCAATGCCATTTTCAAACAGCAGCACTTGCAGATCTGCCAGAGTCCACTTTACCTCCTGTACCATCTTACAAGGTCAAAATACTATTTTCTGACCCAATGAATATCTTGGATGTTCATTTACTGCACAACAGAGTGTGCGCACACACACCGCGCACAGATGTGACAGCTAGTACAGACTCGAACTAGGACATTTGTACTACAAAGTGTAGTGCCGCTTGGAGATACTAGCGCAGTACTGCCACATTGCCTTAGGCACTGCGCTTCTATACTGTGCATGGTATAACTGGTTCCACAGCTAATCTAGTCTCTACTAGCTTGAGTATTTTTGCAGTGCTCTTCATTATAGTCTAAGCATGCATGCTATTGCACTAATACTCTGATTAAAAAAAGATGCTGTTAACTTTCACTGATGTACTATTGTGATGGTCAAGAATCAGTAAACCTTGGAAGCAGATGAACGATGACAGTCTGTGGTTCTACTTGTACAGTGGGAGCTGGGAAAGAAATGAAGGACTATTTTCAGAATAAGCAAAGAAAACAATACAAAGAACCCTAGCATAATCACTTCAGGAGAAATAAATACATAAATAGACAAAATGACCCATAGCTTAGTTAAGTTTTAATGCACAGTTAATTTAAAGTTACCTTAAATATTTTAAAGGCCTTAATTTTTCCAGTGTGTCTCACATGTGGACCCCTGCAGAGATCAATCAGCGGACCACATCTATACACCAAAAGAAAAAAAAGTGTTTATTTCAAAACACTCCAACATTTTTAAATACAGTCGCTAATGGCATACAAGTTAATGCTCGACATGTTCAAACACACTAATAAGCATACATATGCAACACTCAGCAAATTCAGTGCATCTTAAATGTAATTGTGCCTTCTACCCGAATCAGAATATTCACTCAGTAAATACTCAGCACACTTGATCCATTATCAAGAGCACCGTGACACACTCAGCAATTTATATAGTTCCGTATGTAAACTTTGATAAAGTTGCCAGGAAATTTCAAACTATGCACACCAAACAGAAAAAAATGTTTTTGCCATTTTCCAGCTAACTAGTTTTATCCCTGGCAATTGAATGAACAGGTTCCTCACCCCACCCTGAGCTAAGAGTTAGCTTTATCCATTATCCAGCAATTCAATGTCATGGGTGGTAACATTTTAACCTCTTTATTGAAACCACAGGGCATGAGTGAAAAGTGGATTTGCCGTTTGTCCACAAATTGAGACCTAATTTGTCCCAGCAGAGAAACAAAAGATCTGATTTTACATAAGTAGCAATATTAATTGCAAACTTAAGTCCCAATCACACAAGTATTCAGAAGTTAGAATAAAAAAAAAAAAATTATTCTCTTCTCAATTTAAATTAAATATACCTAACTACAGAAATATTTCATAATACCTTTTAACTTAATTTTCTTTACCTGTATATTGTGGTAGTTGGTGTGTTCACCTTCTCATTAAGAATTCGACACTTAAACTTGTTATACTGTGTGGGGAAACATGAAAAGTCAGAAACATCAATAGAACAGCTAATAAAATTCTATTTTAAAATTATGTATTAATAATGCAAATGCATCAGTAAAAGACACAACTTTAAAAAAAGTATCACATGATCACATATATGTATGCAAAAGTTCAACATCCTTTCAGAAGAGTTATAAAACAAGAGGGGAAAGAGACAAAAATATCTTAATTTCCCTGAGGGTGTGTTAAGCATAGTGATTACCACCTGAACACCTCAAAGCACTTCTGACAGGCAATTAAAACACAGTACGGTGAGACTGGCAATATTCACTGTATAAAACAGAGCACTAGAGGACAAAGTCTTTTTTGACTTGTCTCTGCAAGTGAGCCAGAATGAACTTACGCCTTTTGTGTATTAATTTCTTTGTGATCTCATTGAGCTTAAGGCGCTTCTGTCTAATAAGTAATTGTTTTTATTATTGCCTGAAAACATCCCGAACACTTGAAAGGGATATGGAGAGGGGGAAAAGGATGCTATTCTTTTTCTTTGTTTTACTAGACAGGTACTATTCTGATGAGTCAGTCACATGCAGTATTTTACAGAAGTTACATTTTAAAGGATCATTGTACCAGAATCACAGCTACTCCAAAGACTTACCTTGAACATGTCTAACAGGATCTCCTTTTTGACTTCCAGCCTTTCAAAAGGCTGCTTCTCTTTTATGATATTTTTACAGCGGTTCTCTAGTAGTGGGAATTCAGTACTAGATACACCTCTAAAGAAAAAGACACAGGCAAAAGAAATATAAAAAAATGGGAATATCAAAATAATTAATTAAGTGATCACTTTCTAGTGGTCTAATTTGAAAAACACGGGATGCATTGTTGCGATTTGTCACAGTATTTTCTTAGTTTCTTACAATCGGCTGTATTTTCAAACACTAAACTCAGAAACGCAAATGGCATCACCCTGAACAAACCCACTGCAATCACTCCTAGAACAGTCTTTGACGTGTTTAAATGTCTGGAAGATCTGTAGCTCAGTGTATATATGATTTAAGAAAAAAAAAAAAAGACTCAACCCAGCTGCAAGAGCTAGTTTATCAGCTGATGCAGATTCAGTATTCTCCCTGACTACAGAAAGATAAACAAGGGAAAAACAGAATTGTAAAGCTGTGCACAAGGATTAGAAAAGTAGTAAACACCTATACGAATTACATGCATACGTGCCATTTCTACAAGTGACTATGGCACTTTGAAACCAAACTCCCATGATTCTTCAAGGAAACTGTCTCCTTTATCTCCCAGGAACTTCAGAAAGTTTTACCCAAACACTCTACATTTTTTCACAGAACATTCAACAGCTACAAGTCTTAGAGAGCAGGTGTCTGAACACTGCTCTTGAATTTAAATATACACACACACACTCAGTATATCTGTATACACAGATCTATACTATGAGGAAGACTAACCTGTCAGTTTTAAACCATACTAGATACACGATATTACTTTTAACATGCAGAAACCTGACTGAACAAAAATAATTCTAGTACTGAGCTTCAATACAGAGCATTAAAGTTCTTAGACACTGAAATTTTACCTGTCTTCAGTGTACATGTCATAATAAAATCCGTTCTCAATTGGTGGTCCATAGCATAAGCAGCCCCCAAAATAACCTTCCATGGCCTCTCCAAGAATATGAGCACTTGAATGCCAATAAACCTGCAAATAAAGTCAGGTGAGCAAGTCATGGGGTCATTGGCATTGTGTAGCTAAAAAGAAAAAACAAAACAGAGGTATATCTGCAGATGGGAAATACACTGGAATCAGTGTTGTTTAAATCCTGTGAGAAGTATAACAATTTTCTGTTCTCATTTTGAAGTATGCTAAATGGTTAATATAATGGCAGATGTAGCAATAAAGCCCCATTGTATTTCAGCCTGAAAGATAATTATACCTCTGCACAATTCTGTCACCTTAGTACTTATTGTACCTTGTTCATTTGTAAGTTAGTTTCCAGTCAGTTTAAAGTCTATGCAATACTAACCGCATCTAAAGTGATGTAGCCAATTAAGTGACCATTGTTCACATACAGTACATTTATTAATAGGACTGTAAACCACATTACCTGAAATGTCAGAAGAGGAAGACCAGTCTTATGTTCTAAGCCCCTATTAATTCAGACCACTTCATAGCCACCACTACAAGATAAAGCCTTTACAGGCTCCTGAAATGCCTCAAACAAGCTTAATCACATGAATAATTCTTTGGCAAAATGAAGTCTGATTCTAGTGCATGAAGATAAACATAGGCTTAAGACTGAATCCCATAAAAAAAAAAATCTCGGGTGTGTCGCTAAGTATATTCACAGTTTAATTGACTAAGATATGCCTACTTAAGTTTCTAATAAACAATGCTGGTACAAGGAGGTGTAGATTTTATTTATGACTCAGATCTGATATTGGACAATTTTTAGAAAACTGTAACACAGCCTCACTGTTGCTTTCAGCGTCTGATCTTCAAACGCAGAGTCAAACCATAGAACACGTCTTAGAAGACATCAAATTATTTCAAGTTAGCATACAAATCAAGACATTCTTTAAGATCTTGTTTGAAAAATAACCTGTTTATGTAAACGAGAAGGGAAGAAAAGAACACCAAGATTTTATTCACCTACAGATTATAGGTACTTAGTATCTAATCTTCTTTGTTGAATCATGACAAATACATTACTTGAATAGTTTTGGGGATTTTTTTTTTTTAATTCAAGATTTTAAAAGCATAATGCTGCAATCAATTTCATGTCATTAGTTCCTTTAATCAAGCAGAAACCAGCGAGTGTCTACTCACAGCTTTTGCTTCTTTAATATCAAACATAAGCAGCTCCAGAGTACAATCTCCCTCCAGTGGACGATCCAGGTCCCACAGTTCACCATTCACTTTGGCTATGACTGCATTTGAAGCCAACATTTGACTAAAAAACACAAATGATGACAAGAGACCAAAATATTTAGGTTCAGATTTGCAAAAGTGCTTAGGTTTCTAAACCCCGTGAGACCCCACCCACATCTCATAGCACCTAAAGACCTTTAATTTTTGTTTCTGTGGTCGTCTTAAACACTTTTCTACTTTTAAGGTATAGACCCTTAAGGTCTTAAAGTTTCATTCAACAGTTTTCAGTGCTGGGGATCTGGAGGAAAGACTGCTTCTAACAACAGTTTCTACTGTTATCTGGTAACTCACAAAACTTCAGATGTCTCTATAAATTCCTAGCAGTCTCCCTGATTGTTGTATTTTTTAATTGGAAGCAAGCATTATGATCCCAGCACAGAACTTCAAGCATCACTCCGAACAAAAACTTAACCCAGCTGTTTCTTCTGCATTAAGCTGAAGTTTCAATGCTTTCCAAATAAACGAAGTTGAGAGAGTCACCATCCACTGACCATAACACATATATTTTATGCAACAAGGCAAGAGACAAATGATAGTAACAGATTTATCACTGCAAAAGTACAACTCCTTGAATCTGCAGGTTACCTAATTCCTACAGCTAATTGATATGGAGTGGTTTTCCAAGATTCCCCTTCAGCCATCTTTCCATCTGCCAGACTAATTTTGATAGGTTTGCTCTGGTTGGCCGCTCTGTAAGCTAGCAAAGCATCATGTTCTTTTTTCAGTGCTTCATAAAGCTTCAGTCTATCTTCTATGAAGCTTGGCTCACACTGCAGCTGTAACAAATAAATTAAGTCATACACATACATATTTGTGAGAGAGATAGAATAAAAGGATTCACGGTGTTCATGCAACCCTAGAGGTTCCAACTGAGACCAGATTTCACTGTACTAGAATTTATACTAATATGCAGTAAAGTATTTGTAAATAATTATACACTGGATAGTCCCATCCAACTCGCTGACTATTTTATAGCGGCTTTCCAATTTTCCAATGCACCTTCATCAATCTGGGCCAAAATGGCTTTGTGAGTTTGACATCAGAAAGCAGCCTATATTCCTGCCCCAGAATTTGTATTTGGCTGACATCCTAGAGAAGTTTGGATCACTCCAACAAGCCCTCACCTCTGCCAGTCCATTCAAAGCACCAGATTCAAATAAGATAGTTTACAGGAAGTTTCCTTCAGTTTAGCATAAAGTGAATTATTAAGATCTATTGAACTACAGCTAGCACTGCCAACATCCTGTTTCGATCATCAGGCACGCTGTTTAACTATTCATGAACCATCACTCTCTAGGAACCACAGTATCCTGACCCTTATTTCCCAATAGCCCAAACCCTTTTGTTACATAAAAAGTAGAGATCTAAGAATGTATAAGTAACCCTACTAATTACATGCAAGATGAAGCTCCTAGATAATGATTTTTTCTATATGCATGCTAAAGCAAGCCTTCTTCCCAAAATCTGGGATTTCAAAGTACAGCAAAGTATTTCAGATTTCAGCACCTCTTCTGAACCTAGCCAAACAATACTCCTTCTTCTATTATTATATGGTATAAAATAACCACTTACATCATTCCGATGTCTGTTCACAGCTTCATTTTCTTCTTTCTTTTCCTCTTTATTTTGATTCACTGCAACAGTTGGACTTGCACTGGAGACTTTCTGAAAGCAGTGATTATATGAAGTATACCCTATGCCTTTAAGACTTTTCCCAGCAGTCATTGAAACAAAACAAACCAGATCAGTGCAATATTGGGCTAAAAAGGCAATTACAATCGAATAAGATACATCCTTAGTACAGATGAAAGACTTCTCATGACACATCTAAACCGCCTCCTTTAGGTGTTCAGCAGACACAGCAAAACTGCTCACCAAGCAAAATCTTCTCAACACGATTTCCCTCATTTTACCACTGCAACCATCGCCGCCAAAATCTCCCCAGCGAGACCCTGGGAGATTACAACAGCCGAGCGAGCAATAAAAACAACTTTCCGTGGTCTGATAAACTTACTCCCCCTTTGCGACAAGGCAGGGACTATCGGGAGAAGCACTGCTCAGTGCTCCGGGCAGACGAGGGGTGCGGACAGAGACCGAGACAGGCTTCCACTCCCAAGACCACCGCCGACCCCCGCTGGCTGGG